TTACTAACATATCATCTCTACTTGTTACTTATATCAACAACAACAACTACCCAGTAAAGTCCCCCAAAGTGGGGTCTCTTACGCCTACCACGATAGGGCAGAGAGGTTATTTCCGATAGACCCTCGGCAACAGTCACTGTTCTTACTAACTACTAGTCCAGTAATTATTGTTCTTATAAATTCCGACCTATGACGAGAGGCAAATTCAGAATTTTAATAACATGGCCTTAAAACTTATTGGTAATTTTAAAATTATGGTTCACATATAATATTTGCTGAAAGTTTAGTGGGTTTTCACATATAGAGTATATGTATATCCATGATCCGCGTAGAAAATACTGATGAACCGAGGAAATTAAGATAACTCGAAAAGTTTTGAAAGCCAATTAGAAAAAAAGAAAAGAACACTACAGTGAATTTGAAGATAACGTTTCTACCATAATTGATATAAATCCTAAACAGCTGGTCAAAAATTGAGTAAAATCTTCACCAGCACAAAAAAAAGGGGAAAATGTACCTTGAGAAGCTCATTAGCTTCAAGAGTTTCATCTAACGCAAATATCACAGAATCAGTGACACCAGATTTGCCGACTTGTTGACTCTTCAGCTTCTTCCCTAAACTGTGTGCATACGATGCCAATTCTTTCTTCTCCTTCACTGTCAGGCTCAGCAGTTCTTTCTTCTCCTTCACTCTCAGCCTCGGAGCAGCAGTTACTTCTCCATTTTCTTTTGCAATTTCCTTGTCCTCCACGTCCTCAGTGGATTCCAATAGGGCTTGAGAACTAGAGACAAGTACTGGAAGGTTCGCGAAGGTTCTAGAGCGAAGATAGAAGGACGGAGAATTGTTGGCGGTAATGGGACAAAGCGACGTCGTTTGATGGGGAAGAAGAGAGAGAGACTGCTTAAGGAAGGAGAACGAGAGGATAGGAGCGGGTCGGAGCAGGCGATGAAAAACCATGAGTTGGGATGAGGAAGAGGAAGAGGATAACATTATTGTTCCCATTTGCTTTCAGCTTCAGTTCTTGTTTGCCTCGCCTGCGACATTATTGTGAGTTCTTGTAGATCCAGCAACAAACGACAAATTGAAAAATATGAAATGCCTATTACAACATTGGGTGTTTGGTCTAGTGGTATGATTCTCGCTTCGGGTGCGAGAGGTCCCGAGTTCGATTCCCGGAACACCCCTTTTTTCGTACCTACTAATTAATGGTATCTCTATTAACTTTTTTAGTTAAATACAAGGGAAGACAATCTCAGAAACTACATAAAAAATTGAACCTTTTTGCCTATGCACACCGGTTTACACCAAACTATATTAACTCACTATAATTAATTAATTTAATTAGATTAGAATGCATGTAATTTACCATGGTTAAATGATTGAAGTCCATATGCAATACACATGTCATATATTTATTTGTTTGGTGTAAACGCCCGGTGAGGGTGCGAGTAAGTTTTTACCTTGATGTTGCTCTAGAAAGTCAATTCCTTTTTCTTTTTCTTATTTGCTTCAGAAAAGTTCAATCCCTTTATCCCTCTTCTATATAATCTATCTTAACTTTCCAATTGTGATCATCTACTCAATAATCACACTTGTCCCATATATTCTATGATCCCGAGACAGTAATAATATAATACTTAATACATAATATATAGAAGTAGTAATTGCTGGCATAATCAAAACCTTTTCTTTAGTTTGTCATTGATTTTTTTGTGCGTTGTCTCGAATTAGTTTTACCTATACAAAATATAAAATTTCTCATTCCGAAACTATCCTTCCCTACCTTAAATTATAACTTCTTTAACATTATTTTCTTTACTTTGGTCTTGTGCAACGCTAGATAAAACGTAAAATGTTTCTATCTTAATGCGATTGACAACGTGGAGCATATTGCTTGCAATTAAACCCTAATTCAAGCAGCAAAAATTGGACCAATACTTTTGTTTCAGAATTCCTCCAGCAAATTACAAAAGGCTAGCCATCCATGGAGATAACACAGTAATTTAACTCACCGAAACAAGACCATAATAATATCTTTCAGTGTATATATATCCTTGATTTGTTATAAAGGAAATAATAGACAAATGAGAATATAAAGGAAATTCTAACAGTACTTTATACGGAAAACCTTTTTTTTTAGTGTGCCATAAGAGATGTTCAGTTACAAATCTACAAAGACCCATGGATATTTTAAAACCGATTAAACTGTCCGAATCGTACCGTACTGAACCGATTTTTAGATTTCTTTTAATAAAATTATAGGTTTTTATATAAATCTATAACGGTACCGATAATTATGATAGATTTCTTATTTTATAAAAATAAACCGAAAAAATACCGAATAAATTAGCATGTGAAAAACTATATTTATTTATTAAGTTTACAAATAATAATATATTAAAAAATTTCTTAGGCTTTGTAATTGTGAAAATGGTTGCAAGCCAACAGGTAACGAAACTTAAATTCCTAATTCTCAAACCTATTATGTTGCTCCTATTGAAACTAAATTGTTTCCGACATATTCACTAGCAAGAGACAAGGTATTCTAGCGACTATAAATGGCAAACTACAATTTACTGAATATATTTCCTTTTGCATGATTAATCTTCTATGATTATCTTTTTGAATATCTAATCTTCTATAGACTTTATTAGAGTCCAACCTTGGTTAATATCTTTCCATTCGTGTGATTTGTATATTTTTTGTCTTTGTATAATTTTTTACACTGCTGTAGAATAATTAATGGATCTATACTCTTGCCATCTTTCATGTTTTCTTAATTCATCACTTTTTAAATAGTAAAAATATTTGGAGACTTTTGCAAAATCCTATAAAAGTATGTATGTTATTGCATTCTACTTCTACTAGTGACTTTTATATGATATTTTTTTTTAAATATAAAAAACAAATCAAACTGTACCAATACCGAAGAAAAACTGACATGATTGAGACGGTTTCAGAAAGTCTAATTTGGGCTATACATAATACTGAAATATTGGTATGGTACATGGTGTAAGTGGATATCTAAAAATCGATTGAACAGTGTCGAACCGATTTTTAGGTTTCTTTTAATAAAACTGTAGGTTTTTATATAAATCTATAACCGTATCGATAATTAGGATAGGTTTTTTATTTTATAAAAATAAACTGAAAAAAAAACATATCATACTGAATAAATTTACATGTGAGAAATATATTTATTTAATATGTTTAAAAATAATACTAATATATCAAAATTTCCGTTAGGCCTTGGAACTGTGAAAACGGTTACAAGCCAACAAGTATTTAAAACTCAAAATCCTAATTCCCAAACTTATAATGCTACTCCTATTAAAAATAAATTATTTCTAGCGTATTCATTAGCAAGACACAAGGTATTCTAGCAACTAGTAGCAAACTACAATGTATTGGATATGTTTCTTTCGTATGAGTTAGATTTATCTTTTTGAATATTTTATCTTTTATATATAAACTTTATTCTTGAGTTCCAGGTTGGTTAATATCTTTTCACTTGGTTAATATCTTTATTTTATTTTACGATATTGTAGAATAGTTGATGGATGGATCTATACTCTGACTATCTTACATATTTTCTTAATTCATTCCTCAGTAAAAATATCTAGAGAGTTTGCTAAGCGTCCTATAAAAGCACGTATGTTATTGCATTATACTTCTATTAGTTACTTTTAAATGAAATTTAAAGAAAAATACCGAAAATTAATAGAACCGTATTAATACCGAAAAGAAACCGACAAGATTGGAACAATTTCGAAAAGTTTAATTTTAATTACATACAATAGAATATTTGGCACTCTTGAACTCATAAGGGTTTTAAAGACTCTTTTTGGGTTTTCCCTTACAAATTGGCACTCTTTAAACGCACACAAATAGAGGGTGTCAGAGTAGAAATTAGACATGAACACACTTGGTGAGAACTACATGTAAAGACCTCATAGTTGAAACTTAGTAATCACCATATCAAAAATGCATTGGCTATTCACCAGACTTTCATCTTTGATTTGGCAAAAAAATTCAACCACAGGTGTGGAAGAAGTTGTTCGCATGCAGATGAAGTGTAAGACAATTACCACAAATTTTCCGAGAAATCGAAAGTTGCTAAGTGTAACACATTGATGCATCACTTTAACAGCTTGTTTGAATGGATGTTGCGACAATTTTGTATGGTCACGACATTATTTAATTTTTTCCTTTCATCTCGCCCTTCATTATTAATAAATAATCTTATTTTATTATTTTTCCTACCTTTTTATACATAATTTTACCTCAAGATCATAATTCTTTTAATAATATTGCAAGTTTATTCTTCATATTATTGGTGCGTAATATTATGACGATAACAAACGATGCATACAGTCTATTCAAACATTGTATTCATCAAATGATGATATAGTACAATATAATACAATACGATGCGTTACGAAACGATATGTACCAACCATCCAAACAACCTCTAAATGAATACTTGTTGGAAGTAAGAGATGAATACTTGTTTGGATGAAGTAAAAAAATATTTTTAAGCACTTATTTTTAAGCTAAAATGACAAAAACAAACCAAAAGCCAACGGGATCCAAATCAAAACTTTAGGGGAGCAGCAAATGATCCTCAACGGGCAAGAAAAAGAAATATATAATTGCTAAACTCATATTCTTTATTTTTCATTTACAAACATACTACGTCATACAACAATAAAGGGTGGACCCCATCACCTGCTACTCAAATCGTATTATCAGGGAGATTTTTCAGGTGCCAGTATCCACCCTCAATTTTTTTTCTGTTTACACAAGCTAAACCCTAGCTCCCTACAGAAACAGTATTCGCATACCTAATCGCTAGGGTTTATTTGTCCTTGCTAGAAAATTGGGCACTATATCAAAGAAACAAACTGAAAATACTGAAGAGAAACTACACTGAACTAAACTAATAGCCATTATGAACTAAAACTGCATGCTATAAAATTTGATGATGATGATTTTTCATTTATCGAGAACGTGAGTTGGAGGGAGAAGTGACTCTACATTTTCCCACAGTGATCATATTCACCAACTCCCCAGAACCATCTCTTGGAGGACTGAAAATTACAGGCAGAAACCCTTCTGATTCACAATCAAACATCGTATCTTTGAACCGGTTCACTAACGCCTCCTTTCCCTGTTAGCCATTTCACATCAAAAATCACATAAACTAATTAGTAATACATCAACTGATCGATAAAAAAAATCTTGAATCGACAACAACGACCGTCTAAAATCCCACTCGTACGGTTTGAAAAGGGTAGGGTATACAAAGACTTTATACCCACCTCGAGGGAGTAGGGGGAGAGGCTCAAATTCTTGAACCGGGTGACTGGCAAATTAAAAGGGGTATTAGCAAATGCACCTGGATTTTTGCAGCGACTATTTTAACACTCCTGGGAAATCCCGGAAACACGTTTAGTTTGTTAGCAAATGCATCAAAAAAATTCAACACAGCTCCGTGATCTGTGAAATTAACAAAAGCGAATCCTCTGCTCCTCTTATTTCTGCACAAATAAGACCCATCTTTTACGCTAGCCCTAAACATAGAACAATTAAACCAGACACTACGAGATAATATAGATTTAAATTGCGTACTTGAAATCCATGGGCAAATACAAGAAGTCATAAGCAGAGATAATATTTGGTCCATTAGAATCATTGGCCTTTACATTTTCCACTGAGCAATGTTGGTCTAGAAATTGCATCAACATGTCACGGCTGTAAAGGAATAAAATGAAACAATTAAATTTCTAACAAATACCAAGGAGCACAATAAAGAAGTAATTAATAGAGAGTAAACTGATAGTGATCATGATATGCAACTAGAGAGTCGGACTATTAATTTACACTTAATAAACTTCCAAAAACGGAAATAAGTAAATGAATAACAAACGAAACAAAAAAGGGCAAACAAAATCACATACCTGTAAGAGTATGGAATATTCTTGATCATGACAGTAGTAGTATTGTTTTGGGACCAAGTGAGAGGTATCACATCGTGTTTCTGCAGCTTATTGTTCTGTGGCCACTTTCCACAACAAACACCTTGAGACCTTTCATTTTCCATTTTCCTTTGCATAAAACCGTCATTAGAACAACTTCCTCTGGAAAAACCTCGGCCTCTTTGTCTCGGGACATAACCACTCCTCATCCTAGGAAGCCGAGGTCGAGAATTTTCACGAGCCATCAACCTAGGAGGAATGTTCCGAGGCGCGTGTCTTACCGATGGTCGCGATATCTCCAGCAGTTGTGGATCGACGGCAGGAGATGGAGGCGGTGAAGTATAGAGCGAGTTTGGAAGATAATGAGTCGGAGAATCACTTGTAAATGATATTGGTACAACCTCCTGCGGTGGTGCATCGACTGTAGGAAAGGAAGGCGGATGTGTATAGAGCGAGTTTGAAACCACCTGCGGTGGTGGATCGACAGCAGGAAATGAAGGCGGTGGAGGCGGAAGCGGAGGCGGAGGCGGTGGTGTATAAAGTGAGGTTGCCGGATAATGAGAGGGAGGAACAGAAAACGGTGATTGAGATAGTTGATTAATGGGTGTAAAGGGAGAAGGCATGTAGCCGGTGGGAAAATGGTAAGAATTGAGGGGAAGAGAAGGTGTTGGATTATTGACAGTGTTTGTGTAGAAAACAGGCGTATACTCAGGTGCTTGAGGGTTCAATAAACTCCTTCGACCAGCCATTACTGAACTGTACTAAAAAGTTGAAACTAGGTTTTTGATAAAAATGGTGTTCTGAACTCTGACTGTTTTACGAGTAAAGAAGAGAGAGAACTTTGTTCGAGGGGAAGGCGGAAGAATGAAAGATACAGAGAAAGAACGGTGACAGAGATGTATAGAGAGAGACACAGACGAGTGTGGCAAGAAAGAGTTGGGAACGAACTGTTGATTCACTGCACTGTCCACTCACTGTTGGCAGCAAAAAGGCCACTTCCTTTTTATAGCCACCCCAATGTAGATTTTGAACCTCGTTGACCACTAAATTACACTTTTGAATTGTGTTAAGGGGGTTCAAAATTTAATATATAAAGGTAAAAAACAGATTTTGCCTTATATATACAGTATAATTTTTCGGCGAAGGGGATTTGGGTAAATCCCTTGCGCCCCTAAATCCGCCCCTGCCCCCAACTAAGGAATTTGTGACTAACCCTTTCGAACCAAAAATTTCATTTTGTGCCTCAAATACAAGTTGGGTGAAGTTTCTTTTTTGTCTCGCAATTACGTGGGTCCCAAAATTTTATGAATTCAAATATATAAGATATGGGTCCACAAAGATAAAAATAAATATAAGTTGTGTAAGACACAAAATAAAATCATTTCTTCCGGATAGTAGAAAATTAGAGGAAAAACAACTACACTAGAAAACAGGAGAACCATGTCTGCCTTATATAAGTGCAAAAATAATTTTTATGTAATGAAAAGAATTTTATTTGTTTTATAGCAAGTTATTTAGTATATTTTTTAAGTTGCCGGATTATGCTTATTATAAAGAGTTACTTATTATCCTAAATAATTTAATTTGATGCTGAATAAAATATTAAAGTGTGTCAGTATAAAGCATTTAATTAATTTNATATATATATATATATTGAACTGCCAAGGAATATAATGATCATATGAGTGACATTCTTTCATCTTTAATTTAAGGTCTCAAATAGCACTTTCATATAATAAAATATGGATTGAACCAAAAAAATATATATACATACACTTATGTCTTAAAAATTTTGATTTTGATCTGGATGAGTAACTATACATAATTGATTATTTAATATATTAATATTTTATTGTTCAACAACCTTTGCAAGTAAGCATTTAAGAAATTAAAAACCAACTTTGTTGTAATTTGCATTATATATATATATATATAATAAAGAACTAGAAAAGTATCTTCCAATTAGTAATGACTAGATAAAGTCATAAAACATTTTCATTTAATTGTGCATTACGTTTATACACAGTCAAATACTAATTAAGTGGTTTACGAGCACTACAATATTATTACAAACCATTGAATCTTTCTAATTTTTCTTAAATCGTATTAATATTGTTTCGCATTGATATTTCTAAAATTATATTTTGTAGTTAACATATTTATTAGTAAGAAATTCTCGTAAAATATTGACATACTTTGGTGAATATCATGTGTTAGGAGTAGAGCCGTCAATATAGGCTTGACCCATTGGGCCAACCTAGCCCAAACCGTGATTAGCAGGATTGAACTAGAATTTTTGGAGTCCATTTAAAAACGAGTCTTTTAAGCCCGACTCGAGTAAGCCCGTGGCCAGTGAGGCCCATCAAAATGGTGAGCTAGCCCAACCTGTCAATTGCCAAAGGCCATGTGTGCTGGACAGGACTAGTCCGGCCCTACCCATATTGACATCTCTGGTTAGGAGATCTTACGACGAATAATATTAGGGGTGTTCACGATTCGATTTGGCCGATTTTTGATTAAAACCAAAACAAACCAATTTAATCGGTTTTTAAAATTTTAAAACCAAAACCAAACCAAATTACATACAAACCATCGGTTTGGTTGTTGTTGGTTTGGTTCGGTTCTTAGTAAGCTAATGATAAGTTGATAATAGTAAAACAACACTAGACAACAATCTGAAAATAATTTGCTAAATTTATGCTTTTTTATATATTTATTTCGGACCTGAAAGTTTATTTACCCGTTTATACGAAAAAAATGAACAAAAAACAAACTAAAAGTTTACTTCTCAAGCTTTAGCTACTATAGTCTGGCAATTTGAGTTTGCTTTCTTTACTCTTGTCGTAGATTGTTTTTTTTTTCTAACTCTTTTATTAGAAAAAAGTATGTGTGTAGGTTAGAGAATTAGATTCTCTTAAGGAAAAGAAAATTGGTCGATTCCTATTCTTTTGGGCTTAGGCAATCTTTCAAGATATAAGTAGGATAAATCAAAATTCAAAATAATAATTAAAATGCATAAAATATTTAAAATTATTTACGAAAAGATATTATATCATATATCAATAATTATTCATATTTTTATATAATTAATCGATTCGCTTCGATTTTTTCGGTTTTTTATAATAGAACCAAAACCAAACCAAATATTATCGGTTTTTAAAATTTAAAATCAAAACCAATCCAAATCAAGAAAAATATCGATTTACATAATCGGTTTGGTTCGATTTTTGATTTGGATCGATTTTCTATCGAACCGTGAACAACCCTAATTACTATTATTTTATAGGAGTATTAACTTTATACGAAAGTATTTGATAATAAGCAGAAAATATTGAATAAAAAACATATATAAATCTTAAACAAACTACTACTATATGAGATAAAATGAGAGGCTGAGGCGGCTGGGTGGAGTGTGGGGTTTGGCTGAGGTGGAAGGGTGGGGTGATTGGGGTTGGAGGTTGGGGTTTATTGGGGGGTGAGGTACAATCAACTTTGAATGCCACGATGGAAAATTGGAAAACACAACCCAAAGCAATAAA